CGAGTAACCGGTATAACTAATGTGTGCCTTGTTCCTAGTGTTTACAGAATTTACATGATTATTTTTAATAAAACTATTTTTGTTATAAAGATATTAATAGTTACTTTGCAACCATCCGCTGAATAAAATCAAATGATGTATCTTACCTAGTTTGAAGAGCATCTCCCGCCCTCCCTCAATTGCGTGCACTAATCCCGTCACCACTAATCCCAGTACCACTACTCCCAACACCACTACTCCCAACACCACTATGCCAGGAATTTAGTTATTTAAAAAATATATCAAATTTTTATAATAATATTGAGAAGCTATAAATTTAATTTATTTAATTCCTTAAACTTTTCTCTGAGGGATTTCTTAGGACCTAGGTTATAAATTGCTCTTGTGGCTCTATTTTGCAACACAGGTAGGTGGCTGGATCTACCTCCGAACGGTCCACGCCGAGCAACGACATCCCTGGCTACTTTAGCGTGTGGTGACGGCTGAAGATCCCATCATGCGGTGGTGGGCCTCGCAAAGGGCTGTCTGGCTTGCTACTACCCTCGCGTTGTAGTCAGTCGTGAAGCAGCTTACTGCGTTCCGTTTGCGAGCGGAAGAACCAGTGCCTTTGGGTACAGAAGGGCCATCAGTGGCACCGCTCAAGACTAGTCTGGGCTTCTGAATGAAGATATACCAGGTAACTCATTCTGGAGGGTACCGATATCCGAGACACGGTCTTGCCGTTGACTGACCGCAGGTAGTTGGGGGGCCCAAGTAGCGCGCCAGCAACGCGCCAAAGACTGCCCTGCGAATTCGTGAAAAATCCCGGAGGCACTTACTTCGCGCGTGTACCTCACGAATATCAGAGGGTTAAACACAAACCTCGATCTGATCCACCATCACCTTGAGACCAAGAAACTGCATCTATTCTTCTTAACAGGGACGCAGATAGCAACCCCGTCTCATGTAATGTAACTCAACAACCCTGGTTACACGCTTGAACATAAGTTCAAACAGTGCGCTGGAGTCATGCCTGTGTCTATTGATCGCACAGTGGAGACCAGAAGTCAACCAAACTCTTTGAATACCTGACATGGATGATAGTTAAATCCCAACAACGTCTGCAGAGCTAGTTTCTCTCGGGGATTTTAACGCCTACTACAAAAAGTGGTTGTTCCTATACGAGAAAACCGATCATGCTGTGAGAGAGCCACGCAAATTTGTATTATCGCTAGATCTCACTTAGCTGGTTCAAGTAACCACGCCGGCACCAGAGTAGTCCTTCTGGTGACAACAGACCCAGAAAAGCGTTCGATATTAGTCTCAGCTCCTTTGGGTTCATCTGACCATTCTCTGATGAAATTTGTATTGATCAACTCTCCTCCGGATGACCGTCTAGCGGGCACGAGGAGTGTATGCCGATACTAGTCAGCGTGGGATGAGATGCGCTACTTTTTTATCTTATCCGTGGAGGCATGTGGTTTTCTCTTTGGGTGAACCCTCCTGCTCCGTCGACGTTCGCTTAAACATTAGAAATATACTGTAAGTTATTTTTTGTATGTATAACTCGCGATGTCGTACCAATAAGAACCGATTATAATGATTTGGTTTTATTAAACTTTAAACGCCCAATGTTAATTGGGGGGAAATTCCATCCCTAATGGTGAAATAATAGGACATAATTTTTTAATGTAACTATTTAGTCGTGATTCTAGTTGTTACCTTGAACGTATGATACTAAGTCGACTTAAAAGGGTCAAAACAATCATTTAATAAAAACAAAAGTCACTTTCAAAAACAACAAGAAATAAAATACTTTACTCATAACAGCTGAAGTCGGTGCTTTAGTACTTTTAAACACTTAGCAACGACTTCAGAAGCTAAACGTTTAAGTAATTCTATGGCATCAAGTTAACTATTTGTAATCGCCTTTTACTTTCTATAACAATATATTTTTTTTTACTTTTGCTCAAGCTGCGCTCGCAGATCTGAGTGGACTGTGCTCGTGCTAAGGCCCGCAAAGAGTCCGTCTACCAGTAGGGCTATTCACAATCGTCTCGGAAAGGGAAATCGACTCGGATTCGATAACTTTTCGAATGGAAACAATGAAACGCTATTCACATTCGCCGTTCGGATGAATTTGACATTCGTTTTCGGGAATTGTGACAGGTCGCATCGGAAACTTTACGAGACCCCTGAGGCTGGCGAAAACTTAAATATAGATAATTATAAGAGATAAATAAGCTTTTCTAAGTATAAGGTACGTAACATAAATTAATTGCAATTATATATAAAACATATTTTCATATAATTATTTCAATATTTGCACTTAATTTGCAAAACTGTATTTTTGTGAATATTTGGAAGAAAGGTGTATTTTTATAAGTTTTCTATCAGTAATTTTACAGATATAAGCAATGTTAGGGATAGTAGCATTAATACTTCATAGGCGATTCCGAAACCACGAAAAAGAGAAGATACGGATGCAAACAATGATCCGAAACAAACGGTTTCGCGATTTTTCGAATCCGTACGAGGACCCAAACTTCCATTTGACTTACCGACTCACCCCGGACTTTGCCCTGGCTGTTGTGAACGATTGAAAGCCTGTTTGGCAACAACATCAATGTTCAAGCTCACTTCCTGTAGAACTAAAGGTAAATAGATATCTAGATAGTAAACTCAGTACCGTAACTAAGTTGTGACTTATTTTAATTCTCTTTTTTACTTAGTTCCTCTGCGCGTTATATTTTTTCGCACATGGCTCCTATCAAAAAAGTTTAACAAAGGATGTGGACTTCAAAGTTAGCCAGCTTACTTCCAGCAGAGCCATTAGAGAGGCAGTGGCCGCACTAAATCAGCCTCAAATTATCAAAAAATGGATTAATTTTCCAAATCGTCCTCAATTTGAAGCAACTGTTTTAAGGTAAATCTCAAAATTTAAATGAAATGGGTACCTATAGCATACTTATTCATATGAATCTGTAGGTAGGTATTATCAAGCAATATATGTACCAATAAGAAACTAAAATTCAAAAATTTAAATTGCATTGCATTGCATTGGGTGACAAACGAGCACACAGTCTATGTAATGCTAAGTGGATTCCGTGGCTCATAGACATCCACATTTATTCTCAATTAAGTATCAAAAAGAGGACTATGTTGGAATGCCTTAATTCCAGTAAAAAGGGTCTCCAATTTTCTACACTCACCATACAAAACACAACAGCATTATGCTGGTATTCTATGAGTGTGGTCCTGCCCTGGTCGAGCCGACCCATTGATGCTACAACTATAATGTAGCTGCAGCGTAGAAAACCACATAATAAACCTGATACCATCTCGAAGTAATCCATGTGGTTTTCATTCAGTAGGCAACTAAGGGACTGACCAGGTTACAGATAGCAGCAGTATGTGCTGTCTTCCTAAAATACCCAAAGCAGCTAAGAGTGAGATATAAGGCTAGACCCCTTATGAGAAGGTTGTGCACATAAGTAGCGGTAGGATATAAATATGTTTACAAGTAGTTTGTCAGAAAACTTCATAAATAATAAATACTTTCATATTACATAAATGGTTTATTATTTTAACATGTCAACATTTAAATAAGAAATTACAATAAATTATTAAAATTTTTGCACATTCTGCACTCTATTGTGAAGAGTCAAAATGTGTCAAAAAAGGCATGTATGGCAATTCACAATGCTGTGTTGGTCCCTACTTTACCGTATGGTAGTGAATGTTGGGTGTGGCAGAAGAAGCACGAGAGTAGAATCAACGCAGTAGAAATGCGGTCGTTAAGGAGTATGTTATGGCTGAATCTGAACGACAGGGTAAGAAATTGCGTAATAAGAGAAGAGTGTGGTTTGCAAGATAATGTTGTGACCAGGACTAAGAAAGGAATACTTCGGTGGTTTGGTCATGTGGAAAGAATGAACGAGGAAAGAGTGACAAAGAAAATTTATGTTACAGAAGTGAATGGCAGAGTCGGAAAGGGACGTCCTAGGCGAAAATTTATCGACCAAATTGGCGATTCATTGAAAACCGGCCAAATTAGGAGTACCCTTAACCGACGAGCATGTATGCGTAGGTGTATGAATGTGAAGGAGGCGAGAGAGGTGTGTCAGGATCATGCCAAATGGAAGTCTGTAGTCTCTGCCTACCCCTCTGGGTGACAGGCGTGAGTTATTATATATATATATATATATATATATATATATATATTATATATATATATATATTATGTTATATACTTATACATACTTAAATATAATATATATATATATATACTTAAATATAAATGTCATAGTTCGGAGGGATCAACAAAACAGAGTGTAGCCATGTGGTGAAATCTAATGTATTTACCATTTGTGCATTAAGGGTGTGTTCACCCTTTCTATTTACATAAAGTTCTTCATGTTGTGTTGGCTTCTTAAGTTATATGTGTGCCATCATCAATATAGCCCAATACTCTAGGAATTCCGGATTTTTGGTAATTTCTGCAAACGTTCTAGTTGTTTATTTGAATTACAGGTGATTCCGGATATCCCTTGGAGCCATGGCTCCTCACACCGATTCTTAATGCTGAAAAAAAACACCTCAAAGTCGATATACCAATACCCATATAAGGTCAAGGAACAGTATTGAGAGGTGTTTCGGTGTTCTTAAGTCAAGGTTTGCTAAGAAAAATGGAGTATGAACCAACAAAAGTAGGCTGCATTGTAAATGCATGTGCAGTTTTACACAATGTGTGCATAACAGCAGGACTTAGTTTTCGCGATATAGTTGATGAAGAAGCACCTATGTTTTAGCACCAGACGCGAGTACAGCAGATCATTATAGAGAGATACAAATATATGAGCGGGGCCTTCAAGTGCGACAACAATTAATAGAGAGATTATTTTATTAATAACAATTTATAAATATTTGATTGTTTATTATCTTTTATTCTTTTAATTAAACTTAAATAATTCATACTAATCAAAATTATTTAACTATATTGACCTACCTTAGATTAAACTTCATTCATCACTTTTATTGGCCATGGATTTGAGGGCTGCAGCAAAATTATTTATGGCTGCAGCCAAATTATTAATTGACTGTGAGAGTGTATTCATGGCTGCAGCCTGAACTTCTAGACACTCTTCAAGTCTATCTTCTACAACAACATACAACATATTAAGACATGAAATAATAACTAAACAATAAAAAGTAATCAATATAATTACGTTTTTTCGTTGTTTTTCTATCATCCACAACCGGATTGTGGACATCTTCGTCACCACCAGCTTCTACTTCTGCATCACCTTCAGGAATCTGTAAAGACAAAACGAAATTAAACTGTATAATATCCTTCCTACTTCTCTCACTAATAAATAGGGTTAGGGATCTCTATCAGTTGTATATACACAAGAATATGCAGATGCACATTTATTTAGAATGAGTTTATTCATAGTTATTCAAAATTTACTATTTAATAGTAAATTTTGAATAACTATGAACATACATTTAGCAACTTATTAATTTTTGTAATAAATATTTGTTGTTTGGTACAAATACAAGTTACACTACAAAGCTCCATTTTTTTATGAAATCGAAAGGAAGCATGGAGAGTATTGAATCCTAAAAATTAAATATGAATTTGCAGTACCTCTAAGGTATCGGCAACAGCAGAGCCCTCTGCTGCTTCGTGGCCAATAAATGCCATTAGAGATTCCTCCATGGTTAATAAGGGTGCAGGTTCAGGCCCTCCATCAGTCTGCTGCTGAGCACGGCGGATTTTGGCAGCTTTATATTTAACATCGCTGCGCCAGTCTTGCCAACATTATCAAATATTTTTATTAATAAAGGTTAGAATGCACACTTGTAGGCATACATAACAAAGTTGGCTTTAAGCGATCCACTAGACTAGCACTACAATATGTATGAACTTGTAGCACCTAAACACAGACATACCTTTATCCATTTATCGGAGCTTTTTGTTGTTCCTGTGGCACAGCTGTTTAAAATTGTGGCTAGTTCAGTCTGCAGTTTTAATTTCCTACGGGCAGCATCTGTGCCTGCAACCCGATTTCTGGCAAAATCGGGATGCGCCGCCATGAATTCAAATATTTTTTCACGCTTCTCGTAGGAAACACGTGATCTTTTTTGCTGAAATATAAAAAAATATATCTAAAATTAGTTTCAATGAAGGCTAGACTAAATAGGTAAAACTTTTAATGTACATTTGCAATCGTTTTTTTTTTTTGAATTTCTTTGCTCACAGAAGTATGAATATATTTTAATAACCAACAAACTTATTAGGTACTAAAATCAAAGAAATCAAGATGTAACAATTAAATAACTTGAATAGCTCCACTCGCCACAGGAATTTCCGTTATTATTTTATTTAAATCACACAAAAATAGTTCAATTTAGTGACAACCACAAACTAATAAGAGTATTTTGCTCCGAAACGCAATGACAATAAAATAGCATTTACGAAGCATGTTAGTAAAAAGATTAATTTTCAATTATTAAAATATAGAATAAAGTATATTAAAAGTAATAAAGTATATTAAAAGTAATGTTATTTTATCGAAAATTTAGATCAATTTACACTATTTGTATTAAAAATATAACATATTAGAAGATTTTAACGTTTTATATAGTTTAGTGCTATTTTCGACTATCTTTCTTTATAAACATTACAAAATTGTATGAGGGACGGAGGTCACTTCCGACGCATAGGCAATCTATAATGCACTCCCACTGACATTCGAAAAGCTTTCCGTGTCGAATCCTAAACGAGAGGAGATGTGAATACCAAAGTCTGTGACATTCGGATCGAAAACTTGTCGAACGAAATTTTCCGATTCCGAGAGAAATCATTCCGACGCATTGTGAATAGTCCTGCAGGCCTGGGTTCTATCTCTAAAGGTTCGTGCGAAGAAATTTTTAACTATGTTTCCTAGTCTAGGTCTAGTCTAGGTTCTACGCTGGGTACGATTCGACCATGTAAGTCGGGCCAGAATCGCTTACTACCAAGGTAGGTACTAGGTATCCTCGTAATAAGCGAATTTAGTCCCTGTTGAAGGCTGTCGAATCCTACTTCTGTCGTCCCTCGTTGCCATTTATGCAAAAACCTATTGGAATACTGGCCCACTCCGCAACTGACAAAGCAAAGGAGACGAATGAAAAAAAGGAGAATAACTTGATTCCATATAAGCTGAGGCCCGACGTGAACAAAGTTCAAATACGTATTCTTATTTTGAAGATTTAAACATTTGCTACTTATATAAATAAATAATATTTTTTGGCAGAACTTGAGGTTTTGTTTTTATTTTATATCTTATGATCTGTAAGTTATGTAGTAAAATCACTAGTTATTGTGATAATTTGTTTGTATAAATTGTAAATAAGACATAAGAATACAGTTTCGTAGTTATTATTAAATATAGTAAAATAAAACTCTACCTATTTAAATTAATAAATTATTTTCTGCAATCAATTATAAGATGTCTTCTAGAAAAGCAGCCGTAGTCTAAACATTATTTTTTCTATTCCTCTCATTACCCAATTACCACATTATTGTTATTATGTGGACGCATCCCTGTCCTGTAATCCGAGAGAAAAGCCAAGGGTCAACTTAAATAAATCCAGGAAGGTAAAAAGCATCGTAACGAGGAATGAGTTGTTGGTAATTAATGATTTTCCAAATGCAGCGTCGAATCGTAAAATAAGCCTATTTTAAAAAAATTCGGTCCTTATTTTCACTAGAATTTTTTTGAAAATAAAAAACAAAACCTTTTCAGTATACTGAAATTCGTTAATCTTTTACCCTACTAAAATTATGCACTGATTGTGTACAATTCCCTCGTATTTCAACGTTTTAAACTGTTTTCTACACTGTTAACTAGGACATATTGTCTATTCACCCATTCCTCCATTACGGCCTATAAAGATCCACTGTTGAAAATAGGTCTCACCTATTGATTGCTTTATAGCAGGGATCTGGCCATAGTTGCCAAGCTTGGCAAGTTGGCAATCAAAGTTTTTATTATGTTTAGTTAACGTCAGGAAGATGCTACTGCCCATTTGCTATTTCAGTTTCTTTACGTTACCTCTTACAACACCCACAGAGTGATATGGTGTATTGGAAGTTCATACACCTTCACTATACGAAAATAAACATACTAGCTTAATTATTTTGTAATTATAGCTTTTAAAACCTCGTGAGAAGATTTTAAAAACTATAAAATTGTGGAGATTTTTTATCTTCGTTTTGTTTATCAACCTGACCATTTTATAAGCTTAATTACGTTTATAACAATAACCGTGGGTACATAAGTTGCGAAAGTTTTTTTTTAATTATACAAATATTTTAATTGCTTGAAGATATGTAGTAGTTGTGAGACTAAAACAAATTCAAGTTGGCAAATTAAGTTTTACTTAAGTAAATGGGCATTCTATCTCATTAAGACTGCTAACAATTCGGTCTCCAATTAATTTCACGGCATCTTAAGCAATGTTGATGAACAAACTAAAAGGTGCACAATCGTTTTGTCTATTTACATTTAACGCCATGCCAAGATTCTTTTATTTTTACAGCGCAATCTAAGTCTGACATTTAATTAAGATAAGTAGTACTTTGAGCTAATTAAAAAACTAAATTTTATGTAATTTGGAAACTAGTAAATTATTATTTTAAATGCACGTCTGTTTTTTATTCTTATTTGCGCGCCAACAAAACGACGACTTTTAAAATATAGTGTCATAAATGGTATAATATATTCGTTAAACATTATATATTCTCAACACGATAAATACGAAAGTTAAAAAGAGGGATCTGATACCCTCACACCGGCAATACTACTGTCCATCGCTTATCTGAAAGATTTGCTTTCGGCATTTCAGTGATCTCTGTCGATTGTCGATTCGATGTTCTGTCGGTCAACATATTATCATTTATGCTGTACCGTGTCAAGTTGATATTTGTGAAAGAAGCTGTAACAGCAATTGCACATTATTCTTCAATCCACTATAATTTTTGGTACTTTTCTAGTACTTTCAACTTTAATAAACTATATTCTGGACTGCTGCATGTTATACTACTAAGAATTTAAAAAGATTGTGTTTAGAATAGCCTACGTATGCAGTTCAAAATATTTCGCAAAGATTGAAAGGTATCATATACCCAAAGTAAAGACGGAAGTACTTAGATATTAATGTTGACCATCGTCAATTTATCATTTCTTAAAAGATATTTAAGATTGCGCGAAAATCAAAGTCATACAAATTTGAATTTAATTTTACTTTAGTAAGTCAAATTCATAACTGAAAACAAAGATATCTAAGGGTAATATATTTTCATTTTAAGTGCCGTAATTATACGAATTACCGAAAAGCATAATATAATAATAATTACCTTCATAGAAAAAAAAACCAAAGCTACTTTTATTTTTTCGGCTATTTCAATTCTATTTTAATAGAGTGGGTTTAGGAACAAAAATTTATTAAATGCCACTACTGACAACAGTTTGTGTTTGTTTATTTTTGCTGCCACTAAGGATTTTCAAGTCGCTTTTATTAACTTCGCGTGTATCTATCTAGAACAGAGTTCCCCAAACTTTTTTGTGTCGTAGACCCCTTGCCATGTTTTTCCGTGTTGGGTAGACCCCCTACTTACCTGATATTGATTTCCTGTAAATTTCTAACTGTAGTGAAGTTTAGTGTTAAAAACTTAAAGTAAAAATACATGTTAATTTATACATTTATTAATTGAATTTAAATTAAAACTACTCAAAATAAAATTTTGTATCTGTTATGTAAAATATACTTAGCATTAAATAAACATAAAATAAACTATAAATAAAATAACATAATCAATAAGTCAATATTTTAGTGAGAAAGATGAACCTGATGATTTAATAATAAATTATCAACATTTGGCGTCAATTTTGTAAGATTTAATCTTAAATCTCCTCGGCTAATGATGTCCACTCTGTTTCTTTTTTTCGTTAGGAGATTGGTAACAGCGCTGAACCGCCTTTCCACTAGGTATGACAATGGAAAGGAAATTAAAAATTTCCTCGCTATATTCCATAATACGAGATAAGTAACGGGTATGTTGTTTTGCAGCCAGAATTGCTGATATCCATTTTTAAACTGAATCTTAAGTTCTTCGTTTGTACTTAGTTCAGTCAGTTCCTCTTGTATTATGACATTCGTTTCTTCTATGTCACCATATGGATTAATTATCCACGGTGGTATTACCATAGTCAAAATATCCTCAAACCTAGATTCAAAATCTGAATAGAGAGCATTTAAATGTTGAACGTAAGTTGAAACGTCGTCTTCTTTGCAGCTTGTCTGTGACAAATTGGGGAACTGAGAAAGTTCGCCCCGTCCAATATTTTGCTTCATTAGTCTTCAACTCTGGCAAGAAACGCTGATAAGATGGACTTTGTTTTAATCAAATTTAAGCTGTCGCCTTGTAATTGCAAATTAACCATATTAAATGTTGTAAACAAATCGTTAAATAGGCGATGTCTGTTTTCCTCTTCATTAAATTTTCTTTTAAAATTTTATCTTTAGTATCCAGAAATTCTAAAATAGTCTCAAAAAGTGCAAAAAATATTTTCAAACATAAGCCTTTCGACAGCCAGCGTACTTCACTGTGAAGGAGTAATTGATGAAAGTGTTCGTCATTTTCTTCACACAACTGCGCAAATAACCGCGTAT